ATTTTAGAGTTGTCATTACAATTTTACTCTGAAGACTTTAAAATGTAAAAGCAACATGGGACATAGGGGTTCAGCAACCCATAAACATTAGCTAAGATAATATATTCAAGTTTTCTCTATACAGCTTTTCTTTAGGGCTTGTGTCTTTATCACTTGATAATCATTTACAAGACATTTACATGCCTTAAATAAGACCCTGTGCTGGCAAAAATAGCCCCGACCGTAGCAGGGTGGGAAGCAGGAGGCAGCTAAGTCCACGTTCATGGCACAGTAAGAGTTCAAAATCGTAACCCCCTAAATGTGTCTAAAGAATACCTACAACATTTAATCCTAGTTATTAATGTGAAGCACAAATGTCCATTAAGAGAACTGTTTCATCAGGCCGTGTGATTTCCCAGCACAGAAAACAGTGAGTCTTTCAACGAAGCCACAGTTTTAAGTAGCTCACTTACCATTGCTCTTGGTGCTCAAGTGTCCTGTAAATAGGCATGGTGGACTGTATCTGGGGAGGACAGAGGTTGCTCTGACTTTCAACAACAATAAAAACCACGAATTAGGACATGTGAAATACAACTTTCACACACACAAAAAAACCCCAACATAGAATATTTTTTAAAAGTTTTCAATTTTAAACAAAGTTGTTAAAACTTTTATTCAGCTAGGCATGGTAGCACATGCCTTTAATTCCAGCAGTTGGGAAGCAGAGGCAGGCAGATCTCTATGAATTTTAGGACAGCTGGGTCTACATAGAGTTCGAATCCAGCCAGGGCTACATAACGAGACCATGTTTCAAAAACAATACAAAACAAAAAAAACTGCAAGTCACATTACTACCAGAAATAATATCTCAAACAGCAAAAATTCAAAGACCATTGATTGAATCTTTTATTTTTTTTTAGGGAAAATAAGACAGGGCTGTGGAGATGGCTCAGAGGATAAAGTGGCCGTCACAGAAGTACCAGACCTGACTATGGAATCTGTGTAAAAAGCCAGGCACGGCAGCACATGCTTGTAACTCCAGCCTTGGGGCAGCTAGGTATGAGCACAGGTAGCCGGCTCCTTGACACTTTGACAAACCACCCTAGCTGAATCAATGAACTTCAAAAGTTCATTAACTGATAGTTTCAATTGTCAACCTGACACAACCTACAATTACCTGTGAAAGGTCTCAATGAGAGAGTGCCTGGATCACATTAGCCTGGTCATGCCTGTGAGGACTAAAAATGTGTGTATGTGTACTCTTGGAGCATATGCTCCACTGTCCTGGGAAGCCAGAGGCATGAGTTCAATTCCCACATGGTGGCTCACAACCATCTAAAATGCTCTCTTTTGGCAAGTAGGCATACATGCAGAAAGAACACTGTATACATAATAAATAAATCTTTAAAAAAACTTAAAAAAAGTATAGTTTCAGTGTTAATGTAACTAGTGTGCAGAACACAAATACTGTATCCCCCAGGCAGCTTTTATTGGTGTGGTGGTGAGGAGGATCAAACCAGGGTTATTTCTTTATTGGTTTCTAATATTCCTAACAGATAAGTATCATGTTAAAACTCATGGAACGGAAAAAAGGAAAAGATGAGCATTTTATCTGGGCCCTCTCTCAGGCGCTGCCCCACAATTGGGGTATACTTTTCTTTTTTTCCCCAGTGAAAATATGTTAGGTAACACTGTAGCAAATGTATATTATGCCTATTTAACAATTCTTCATACTCCTCCTTTAAATCACCCTGGGTAGTTTCGATATCCCGATGGGACCTAGGATGATCCAAAAGCAGTCTCACATCAAATGCCCAGAACAAGAAGAGCATTCTCTAAACTAAGACTAAAACTTGGAGCAGGGGCTTGATGGTCTTACAGAACAGTGAAATTCTTCAGCTCTGTTTCCTATAAAATCTGATTTTACTGACAACTGGAAGAAAACTCATGGAGGAAAAAAATGGTGTATTAGTATTTTACCAAAATTGTTGGAAATTTAGGAATAGGTCACTTATAAATGTACCTCCAGGGGAGCAGCAGATTAAGAAATCTTTCCTAGTCTATTTTTCAGCTAACTGTCCTAACAGGTTGTCTCCTCTTGCTTTTCCAGCACAGGTTGCTGATAATACAATGGATGGTGGACCAATATTCTTAATTTTCTCCTTTCTCCTTCCTCCCATCAGACGTCAGAAACAAAGCCTTATAGATTATTAAGTCTAGCTCCCCATTTTACAAACAACTAAGGCTTGGGAACGTAAAGTAACTGGCAGAAGAGTGCCTCATTAGTTAGTATCGAAGACTAGAAACAAGACCTATTGTTTTTCAAGCTGGTGCTTTCTGCTTCATCACCACTCTGAGGGTTGACCCTACAAAAGAATGTGACTACTGCAGCAAGTGAGGAACTTTCCCCCCCAGGTATCCTTAGTATGTTATGTTTTCAAACAGCTGAAGGAACTAATGAAACCTAAGACATTTACCTTCAATGAAAATTAAGCATTTAAGCTTTGGCTAAATGAATGGTTACTTATAAATAGTTTATAATTAATGACAATCATAGTTACTTATACCATATGAAAACTAGCCCAGGTATTTATTGAATATAATATTTATTTTATAAGTTCAAAACTAGAAACAATGATATTATATATTACGGGCTAAAAATAAAGCCACTTGGGTAAGGTATAAAGTATAAACCCGTGCACATTTGTCACCTCATTTAAAATTAAATGGCTCAAACTTACTAAATCTATTACTATACAAATGCCCCCACCCATACTATGCAAGTAAAAGAATTAACTCAAGGGTTTTTACATTCTTAGTCTGGGTTCAAAGCTTGTCCTGTCACCTATTGTGACACTGGGGAATTATTTATAATCTTTTCTTCTATTGATTTCAAAATATGAATAAAACCTACTTAACATTATTTGTGTGTGTATACTAAACAGGTGTTTGGTTATGGGCAGACCACAGTAAAGAATTAAAGCTTGTTTTGTAACCATTTCTGAAGACCATACTGAGCATTTTGGTTTGCTTTTTCTAGAACTTAGGTTGGTATAGTGTCTGACCTTCTACACCAAGCATAACACTTATTTTGACCAATTATTGTAAAATAAAGGTGCATGCAAGTTGAAAGTAAGACTTAATTCAAGAAACCATTAGCAGATCCATTCAAAGGTACCCTTTAAGTCCCAAGAAAGAATACTTGCTTAGGCTGTGGAGCTTCAACTTCGGTTGGGCTGATTTGTAAAAACTCATGGGTAGGGGTCACCAACTATTTCACAATTTCCACTTGACTCAGAATATCAATCAAGGCAAATAGGTGTACACTGTGATTATGGGTAGTCTTGTGCTATTAAACATTCAGTCCACCAACAAGCCACATGGAAGTTTATTACAAACGAGGTACCCCAGCTCCTCGCGTTGGAGCAACTGAACTATTACCAGATCTAGGTCAGTCAGTTCTGGAGGGAGGGACTGGGGGACTTCATGTACACTAAGTACTTGGAATGCGCCAGGAGCTTGCTACGTTTTATCTGCACTTAATCCCCAAGGACTCCGTGGCATGGGTATTTTCCCTCTACAATCAAGATGGGGAACCTGAGGTTCGTCTCTGTGAAACAGGTCGGCCTTCAAAGACCAGGCTTGGACTTGTGCCTAGAGGATCCCGAGGTGATACAGGCTGCAGGATCCCGAAGTCAGAGGACGGATGTCAGGACGACAAACTCACCGCCAGGCAATAGGTCAATGAGAGGCGTAAGCGGGGCCTCCCCCTGGGCCCCGGGCCTGTCCAGCTCCGGTCATCACCCTGCGACACTGGAGAAGGAGCTGGCAGGCCACCCGAAAGGCCAGGGCGCGGCCTGGACCCGCGCAGCCCCTTACCTCTCCGGCTGCCATCCATGTTTAGTTCTCCTGCAGCCTTTGAGGGGACGCTCTGTGTCCCTTCGGTTCTTGCTCGGGCCAAGCCGGCCCCCGCAGTGGAGGTTTGGAAAGACTAATCCGCGGGGGCGGCAGCGCCACAGAGACGGTCGCCAGGCTGGTTGCTAAGGGCCTAAGGGCCGGCTCGGCGGCGGCAGATTATGACGTCACACCACAGGGACGCGCGCTCCCAGGCCCCGCCCCGCCCCGCCCGCTGGCCTAGGCTCTCCTGGTTACAGCGGGAAGGCAGCGGGCTAGAGAAGGGGTTCTGGTGCCAATCCGTGGCTCTGCCCGACACCCAGAGTGAGATGATGTCAGGGAGGCGAGTCGCATCTGTTTCAGTCATCACGCCCACTTTTTACTTGGGTGCCGGGGATTCGAACTCAGGGCCTCAAACTTTCAGAGCAAGCGCTCTTGACGAGGGAGGGAGTGGTCTCCAGCAGCCCGTATCTTGGTTTGTAAGCATTAGTTTGAATTCCCTTTCTGCATACTGTGTCCCTCACCTCCTGTCCTCACTGTCCCTTTATCTCAAAGCTACAAATCCCGTTTCATTTTAAATGGAAGAAGGCTGTGAGAAGAAGGTCTGTTCGAGGCTCTGCAAGTTGTTTATTTTTGCAGTAGTTAGTTGTGAATCTTTGGAAGTAAGATCAGAGTGGGGTGGAGGGAGTGCAGAGAGCATCTGCACTCTGGCTTTCTCAGTAACCCATTCTTGAACTTTTAGGCAGAATGGGTAAGTCTTTGTTGTGTGATCGCATAGCAGCATTCCTGAACTCTACCCACTTGAAAACAAACAACAACCCACTCACTGCAACCAAACTCCTAACAACCAAAAATCTCACTAGGTATTGCCAAAAGTTGCCTGGGGAGGAAACTATATCCCGTCTGAGAACCTCTGTTATCATTAAACAAACAAACAAAAAACATGCTGAATTCCGAGCCAGATTTGCTGAACTTTGAGCTTCTTTATATTATGGTTGGTTTTAATGGTAACTTGCCACAAGTTACAATGTGGAGATTGTCCTGTTTGCCTTAAATGATTTGGAAGACCCACTCTGACTGTGGGTGCTTCCTTCTGGCAGCAGTGCAGATTTGATGGTCCTGGCAGAAAAGGAAGATAGATATCTTGGTGTCTTGGCCTTCCTCATGCTGACCTGTTGCTGTGTGGTTGGATCCTTCCATGTCAGAAGCAGTTTTGAAGGGCCAGCAGCTCTCCAGGAATTTTTCAGTTTTGACAGGAGGTGGGGACCACTGAGGTGCCTAGCCTTGGGGACTGAGCATCAATTGAATTTGCCAGCCTCCCTAGTGAGAATCACTGTGGATTACCCTGACCACTGAGCCACCCAAGGATACAGAAACTACCAAATTCTCAGCCCCTCAGCTGTAATTCAGCAGTTTTTTGCTATTTCAATGTAAGCTTAATAATACATTCACAGACACAGACAGACAGACAGACAGACAGACACACACACACACACACACACACACACTCACCCCGTTGGTTCTGTTCCTCTAGACAACCTTGATTGATACAAACTGTGGTATAAGGAGTGGTCCTGGAGGAACAGAAATGTAGGCATGAGTTTCTCTAGTGGTCCTGGTGGTAACTGGGGGTAGCTCTCCAGCTGGGTGAAACCTGAGGTCATTTACGACTCTTCTGGTAGCATGGGGGAAAACTAACAGTCCGTGATGTGAACCGTTTCAAGAACTCACCAAGACACATGCATTTGGTGCTCTCAATTCACCTCTGTGCGCTGTAAAGAATGTAATAGCTGTGTAAAAGTCTATGAGCTTTTGTGGAAAAGTAAGAAAAATGCTGCTGCTGACTTCTTTGGACAATTTTAGAAAAGAAAAGAAACAAGATAAGGTGAGTGATAAAATTGACCAGCTCCAAGATGCTTATAGACAATCTCAAAGTTTCTAAGTGTGCCCTGGAAGAGAATCCTTTCTCCAGCAGCCTTAGAGTTCAAGTTGCAGACCAAACACAAGCAGTCATTATATTATTAGCTGACTCACAATGTGAAAGAATTTCCCAGCCTCAAAGTGCGTCAACAGTTAAAGTGAGGCACTGACTGGAAGTGGAATCCCGTGACTTGGGATGGCACTGGGTGAGAGGACCCTGAGGAGGCGGAAGATGCTGACTTCCCGGATTCTGATGGCCCCACTGCACCTGAGGAAATCCTCCTAACCCTTAGCAGAGGATGCACCCTCCCCCTTTTCCTACCCTCTTCACTGTTGCTGCCTCTGTCCCTTGCCCAGGGGATTTGATTCTGCCTCCTTTGCAGAGCCGGTGATGACTTCATCTAAAGGAGATGTCAGAGAGAACAGTGCTGCTGTCCCTCAGGAGCCACCTGTCATTGCCTCTAGACCTATCTTGATGGTTAGGTTAAGCAGACCCCAGCGTTGAGAATGAAATTGTGGTCCGTGAGAAGGTATGCTAATGCCACTAAAGAACTTAGTGAGTTTGCTAATTCGTTCAAGTTGAAGTCTGGAGACCATTTGTGAGAATGGACTTTAAGGGGTGGGATGACAGGAAGAGGTCAACTGAGACAATGCCTCCATCAGACTACCCTGCATGCATTTTCATGATTCATGATTGAGCGTGGGAGCCAAGCCCACTGTGGACAGTGCTCTTCCTGGGCAGGTGGTTCTGGGTTGTGTAGAGAAGTAAACTGAGCAAGCCATGAGGATCACACCTATAAGTAGTGTTCTTGCATGGCCAGTCTGTAGGTTCCTGCCTTGAATTCCTGTCCTGATTTCCCTTCATGATGGACTGTAAGTTGTAAGATGAAACAAACCATTTTATCCCCAAGTTGCTTTTGGTCATGGCGTTCTAGCATAGCAATAGAAACCCAATTAGGACAAACTACAGAGTTGGTCATGAGTTAAATTTTAAGCTTGGTTAAGCCTCAAGTCCCTGTTTATGTAAACAAAAGGAATGCTGGGAAGTTGTGCAGGTACACATATTGCATGGACAGTGGCTGACCAAGGAAATGTGGTATTGTACAGATGTCAATTTTCTCTTCTAAGACTTCTGTCTCAGAAGAGCAAAACATAAAGAGAGCGAGGCTTAAGGGAAGTAAAGCAGAAATCCTATAACAACAAGGGAGGAAAATAAAACCCAGAATCCCAGTTGTAACAATGTCTGGGACAGCGGTTCTCTAAGACATAGGGAGGAGAGAAAATTGGGCTTAAAATGTGATGATTCTGTATCTCCAACGAAGTTTAGGATGATGCAGAGTAAGGGGACAAAGACGACCTTCTGCTCTTGCAGAGGACCCAAGTTCGGTTCACAGCTACCACATCGGGTAACTCACAACTACCTGTGATTCCAGCTTTGGAGGATCTGAAACCTTTGGCCTCCAATGGTACCTGCACTGGTGTGTGCACACCCATACATAGACACCCACACCCCCCCACACACACCTCTTAGCTAAAAATAAAATGCCAAAATTTAAAAGATAGAATTGAATATTATGCAGAAAGCAGAAACTTTTATTCCTACACATTAACTTACAATTCTGAGACCCCTAAGGCATTTATGACACCATTAGCAATGTAAAAATCCGCATTGCTTACATGATGCATAATTGGTTCTCAGGAAGCATTTGGTATATTTAACTAGAGCTGAATTTAAGGAGCAAACTGAGGAAGAAGGCAACAAAATTGTTTGGTTTGCTAGAAGGAGACGCCAGCTCCCCATATCAAAGCAGACTTGTGGATAAAAATGCTCTGTTTAGGTCCTTAGCATATGTATTATGGCTTCCATTTCTGTGTTTTTAAAATGAGGTTCCTGTGTCTGCAAACATGTGTGTCTCTGCATCTATGTATGTTTCTTGGGCTTTCCCTTTGGCTCTTTTTTTGATTGTTTTTTATTACTCTCATTTGTTTCTGATTTGTCTTATTGTATTTTATTATTATTCCTTAGATGATTGTTTTCTGGTGAGAGACAGAAAGACTATGGATCCAGATGGGAGGGGAGGGGAGGAGGAACTGGGAGGAGAAAGTGTAATCAGAGTGTATTGTATGGGAAAAATATATTTTCAATAAAAGAGAAGGTATATTCTGTTTTGGAGTGGGGAAGAGGCTTCCCGGTTGAGGGAGGACAGGAGAGTGGAGAGGGTCCTGTAGTCATCACTGCCTGGCGTGTGACTTCTCTGTGGCCTTTCTCAATGTGTTGTTTTCTTTTAAGCAGTGTGTTGTGCCCTATCTTTCAAGAATGAGTGTGCAACAGGGTCTATTGATTTCCGGTTTTGCAGTGAGCATATTACAGTAAGTGAAATTTAATTTATGCTTGACTTTTGCTCTGTGTATGTGAACAAGAGACTACCTTTACTCAGGGACAGTCCAAGTCTTGGCCACAGGTACACAGCTAATAGGAACTTATTACGGGGTTAAGCTCCCAAGAACACCTTTACACTGGGATGAGTACCTGTTGCATTGACCTTGGGGAGGAGGCATCATTGTGAAGATTTTTTTCTGGCTGTATCAGCATGACTTCATGTTTAAAAATTACTTCAGTACATTCAGAAATTGGTGCATCTCTGGTTTTGAAAGAAATATATTATCCTCTCAAGTGAATTTTCAGGTAAAGGCCAATGGTTTGATTTCTTTGTGTGTGTGAATTGAAAAGATGCTCCCAAATAATTGAAATATTTTTGTTTAATTTTGGCATTATAATTGTTTTCTTATTTTTATTTTTATTTTTTTGTTTTTCCAGATAGGGTTTCTCTGTATTGTTTTGCAGTCTGCCCTGGAACTTGCTCTGTAGACCAGATTGGCCTCAAACTCAGAGATTTGCCTGCCTCTGCATTCCTAATTGTTTTCAATTTAATATTGATATTGTACTTGATATCATTTTAGGCTACTTTTTATCTTTTTAGTTCTATTTACTAAGAATGTGACTTTTAATTTTTATTATTTATTTGTGTGTGTGTGTGTGCGTGCGCGCGTGCATGCGCATACCTCATAGTCCAGATGAGGACTTGACTCTTCTAGAACTGAGTTACAGACAGTTATGAACAAACATATGGATGCTGGGATTGAACTCAGACCCTCTGCAAGAGCAGCACATACTCCTAACTGCTGAGCCAACTCTCCAGCCCTCTCTTCTCTTTTTTTTTAATGGTTTAATTAGACTTCTCTTACTGAATGATTGGGATGGTGAGATACAATGAATAAACTATATGTAAATAATCTGTACTACTCCACCTAATAAACATGTAATTTATGTTCATTATATCTTAAATGCTTTGTTATTGTTCATTTAATTTATTCTTTGTAGATAGCCCTTAGTTTCACAGGAAAGAAGCCTCCTGGAAATGGTTCTTCTCCCTCTGACCATGCCTGGAAACATCGGTGAAAATTCTCCAATGAATGCAGAAAAAGACACAGGAGATCAAGGCTTTACCTTTATGTTTATTGGTTATTATAAAATATTGTTATAATAATTTTATACTTTAAATTGCATTGTATTTATTTAGGTGTGTATGCATGTATGTAGGTTGGTGTACACATATCATGGCATGTGTGTCTGTTACAGGGGCAGTTTTCTCCTTCCACTGTAGAGGACATCGGGTTTGGTAGCAAGTGACTTTGCCTGCTGAGCCATCTCTCTTGATCATGAATGCATACTTTTGTTGTTTAGTTTTATTGTTTTTTGACGTGTATGGGTATTTTGCCTGACTCTCTGTGCACAGTACGCATGCCTGGTGCCCATGGGAGCCAAAAGGTGTCAGGTCCCCAGGGACTGGAGTTTTAAGTAGTTGTGAGTTTTAGGTAGCTGCCATGTGGGTGCTGGGACTTGAACCCAGGTCCTCTGGAAGAGTGGCCAGTGCTCTTAGCCACTGAACCATCTCTCCTGTCTTCCTACTAACAGATCTTAATCTTGAAGTTCCTAAAAGACGAAAAAAGAAAAAAAATATGGGATATTTTTGAGTTATCCAACAGGATCAAGTAGAAATTCATAGAATTCAAAGATGTGTGAACACTTTGTGTGGCCTCAGTTCTATACAGAGTTTTTGGTGACTGGCCAACACTTGAGAATCTGAGCTACAATTTGCTTTAGCCATATCTCACTCAATGTATTCATTTAAAAGCTAAGAGAAGATGTAAGTTTGAAATGCATCAGTGTTGATCTGAAATGGATTCATTCTCTGCTTGTCACTAGAGGGACCTTTAGGAAAGGTTTAAACTCCATCCCTGTGAGAAAAATGAGCCATGTGCAAGCAATATTAACTTGCAAATCTTATCCAGGGATTGTAAGTCGCCAACACTGCAAGAGATGACTCTGGGGTGGGGCTGTTTCAGTTATAAATGCAGAACAAGTTCTTTCTCAAGGGCAGGGAAATTTATGCTATTATCTAAAAGTCCTCAGAGGATAAAAACAATCTTCATCATTGTCAACCTATAATTTGATTTTTCTTAATTTTATTGTTTAAAGCAAGAGAGAATAGGAATGCCTATAATTCTCTGTGAAGTAATATGTGTCTAATGGGAATACAGGTATACAAGACAGAGTGATAATAAGGCCTACTGACTGCAAGTGATCATTCTGAATTCTCTTAAGCAATAGGACACTGATCCCTGAACATAAACAGAATCTTGTCCCTGACCATTTCAGGAGCTATAAAACCTCATTGGGTTTTATTTCTTTTTATGGTGCTGGGTAATTGAACATTTATACTTCTGGGACTTATGTTTTCTAGACATGCAAGCACTCTCTTGCTAAGATATCCCAGCCCTTGTTTTTTGTTTGTTTGTTTTGAGACAAAGTTTCTCTAAACTGACTTCTGGCTCTTGATGTTTTGGGGCCCTCCCTTCTGAGCGATGGGATTAAAGATCTAAGCCATCACCCATTGCTAGACCACAATGTTTCCACTGCACTTTTAAAAAAGATTTATTTTAATTTTATGTGTATGCCTGAGCACCACATATGTGCAGTACCTGCAGAGGCCAGAAGGGGATGATGTTGGGTTCCCTGAAACTAGATTTACAGATGAATAAGAGCCACAATGTAGGTGCTGAGGTTCAAACCCAGAAAGTAGCTGATGCTTCTAACTGCTGAGCCCTCTCCCCATCCCTCTCTACACCTTTTAATATGCTTATTTCCGCAGTTCACTTTTATTTTTCCTGTGTTTGAAAAGAGCACAACATTGTGTTTCCATGGGCAGCTTGACTGGATTCTTGTTACCAGTGAAAGAGTCATTTGCTCTATGACCTTTTGGCCGAGGCTGCCAAGATTTCAGACAGCAGGTCTGCTGAGAATTGCCACAGTCATCCATCTTCGTTTCTTCACAGCTGTGGTCTTCAAACCTTTTCATCCAATTAGAGAAGAAGTCCCTATGACGAGAACTCACTCATTTGGTGGTTACTAGGTAACCTGTCCTTCTAGCTTAAAGAGCATTTTATATATTTGTCCCCAGCCGATCAGTTGTCACATATTAGTAGGATGCTCAACCCAAGGAGTCAATTATTTGTACCGAACACATTCACTCTGTTTACAAATGGCCTCACCCTCCCAAACATAACACAACGAAAAGGACAGCCGAGTTGTTCATCTAACCAGATAATTCCATTTAGGAAAAAGGGTTTGGAGTTTACATTTCTCATCACTGGGACCAAATATCTCCCAAGAGGAAATGGAAGAGGAAGGATTTGCTCTGGTTCAGTCCATCATGGTGGGGAAGGCATGGTGAGGTTAATGGGAGTGTGAGGCTGCTTGTCCATGTCTTACTACATGAAGAAAAAAGGGCTTAGGCTGGGACTGGACCAGGCTGTAACCCATAAGGCCTGCCCTGTGACTCTATGTTTGCCAGCAAGGTCCTATGTCCAAAAACTCTTATACAACCTTCCCCAAACAACGCCACCAGGAGACCAGTTAGCTGGCCTATGGGAGGACATTTCATATTGAAACATTAACAACTTGTTTAGAAATAATTCCTTTAAGTTCCAGGTCAGGTTGTTCTACAGAGTGAGTTCCAGGACAGCCATAGTTACACATTGAAACCATGTCTTGAAAAGAAAAAAACACTTAAGCAACCAAGCTTAGAGAATGGAGGTGAGAGTGATCCTTGACCCCCCCCCCACATCATTCTGTCTCTTACTTGATTCACCCTATTTTCTTTTGTTTGCTTTGAACTCTTTTCTGTAAACCATTAGTGTTCTTAATCTTTGTCTTAAAGCAAAATCTAAATTAGCCAAAAGTATGAAATTGTCTTTTCTAAGATTTACTTTATGTGTAATTTTTTACTGCATGTATATATGTGCATCACATCCATGCCTGCTACTCGAGGAAGTCAGAAGAGGGTTTGGAGTCCTTGGGTTGGTTATAGGTGGTTGTGAACCACCATTGCTGGGAACTGAACCTGGATCCTCTGGAAGAGCAGTCAGTGCTTTTAGCCACGAAGCCATCTCTCAGACCATAATTTACTTTTTAGGAAGGCTTTCAGAGGGCCTAGGAAGAAGGCAGTAAACACTAAGTCAAAAGGACACTGGAGAAGATAAATAACCAGCCTACAGATCTGGCTCTCTGACAGCAAGACAAAGCATCCCAGTGTCTTGATTAATTATGGTCACTGTCTTAGCGCAAGCTACCCCAAATAGCATAAAAGTGATTTTTAACTGAAATGACATAGATTTTGTTATATAAAATGCTCACAACTTATAACATACTAACATAATTACTGTAGGGGGCATGTTTGGTATTTACAAGTCACTTTAACACATTTTAGTGGTATTAAAAAGCCAATTTTATCCATCAAAGTTTGTTATTAGTTACTACATGAATAATGATGACCTTGAGTTATTGTATTTGGTCCCAATTTCCTTAAGCTTACACAAATTACCTAGTGTATACTATGGAAAAACCTAAAATTATGCTGTAATATTCAATTATAAGTCTACCTGATAAAGTTTCTGGAATTGCTTTTAGGAAAATACTAAGCACTGATATGACATTTCAAAAAGAATATGAGCAACTTAAATCTTCAAGTCCTAAAACACTGGCCATTGTTATAAAAGTAATTTTTATAAGAACTCATCTTCACACAAAATAGAGATGAGTTTGCTAAGTGTTCTGTCTCAGACAAACCTGTCCTAAAACTGTCCTCAATAAACAAGATAAAACATATTTTAGAGTAACAGTTTTTATTTGGAGACAGGGTCTTTTTTTTTTTTTTTTTTTTTTTTTTTTGGTTTTACGAGACAGGGTTTCTCTGTATTGTTTCGGAGGCTGTCGGTCCAGCCTGGCCTTGAACTCACAGAGATCCGCCTACCTCTGCCTCCCGAGTGCTGGGATTAAAGGCGTGTACCACCACCGCCCGGCTTGGAGACAGGGTCTTAATATGTTGGATTGGCTGTCTTGGAACTCACCATGTAGACCAGGTTAGCCTCAAACTCACAGAGCCTCTACCTTCCAAACACTGTGGTTATAGGTGTGCACCATCATGTCTGGCCCAAAGTCACAGTTTTTTAATTTATTTTTTTATATTTTATTTTTAAATTTAAATTAGAAACAAGGTTGCATCACATGTCAATTCCAGGTCCCTCTCCCTTTCCCTCCCCTCCTCCTGTGCCCTCCCACCAACTCCTCCATTATCCCCTCATTTCCCCAGGGAGGATGAGGCCCTCCATGGGAGTGTCCTTAGTCTGTCATTTCATCCAGGGCAGGGCCTAGACCCTCCCCCAAGAGTTCAGGGTGAGAGTGCACCTCACATTGTTCTATGGGAGTCCAAAGTCCGTGTGTATACTCGGGATGAATACTGATCTACTGCCCAAGGCTCAATAGATTACCTAGCCACAGTTTTAAAAATAGAATTTTTATTTTTAAGTGTGTGTGTGTGTATGTATATGTGTGTGTGTGTTGGGTGTGTGAATACAGGTGCTAGGTGGAGAAGGCTTCCAATGCTTTGGGGCTAGACTTAAGTGTAGCTGTGCTGCCTGACTTGGCTGCTGGGAACTGAACTCCAGTCTTCTGCAGGAGCAGCAAATGCCCTTAACTGCAGAGCTGTCTCTCCAGCCTGTAAAGCTAGGCTCTTTATTCTAAAAGAACAGTGGGCATTATTCTCTGACATAACACATAGGTTAGTTCAGTTTCTCTCCCTCCCTTAAGATGATTGCTTTGCCTTAACCAAGAAGGACTGCCCTTCACTTAAGATGAAAAACATTTTACCCTGGAAAAATATGTCTCAGAAGTGAAAGCCCCTTCTCTTTTTATTTTTTTTAAGGAAAGATGGGGAAAAGTAACACCCATGACTCCCATAAACTGAAAAATTGCCACATATTATATGCAAGGCACATACTCTTTGGCTCGCATGTTTCCCTCAGAACATGATGGAATTCTCTCTCATTCATTTATATCCGCTTAGATGGTCATCTTAGAGCTTTTAGTTGCTTTGAACAGGA